CTGGGTTGGCTGGGGGGGTCCCTGGCAGGGCCGCCCTTAGGATTTATGGTGCCCTACGCGGGGTTATTAAACTGGTGCCCCTACGCCTGGCTTGCTCTTAGCAACACAACCATAAGCTTACGCTATTGGAAAACTTGCCACATGCGCCTTATTAAAAACAGTTTAACTTAATGCTGATGGATTTGCACTGAAGAAGTACACTGGGTTGGCTGGGGGGGTCCCTGGCAGGGCCGCCCTTAGGATTTATGGTGCCCTACGCGGGGTTATTAAACTGGTGCCCCTACGCCTGGCTTGCTCTTAGCAACACAACCATAAGCTTACGCTATTGGAAAACTTGCCACATGCGCCTTATTAAAAACAGTTTAACTTAATGCTGATGGATTTGCACTGAAGAAGTACACTATAGAAACAAATTCTGATTTATTGACGGAATTATACACATATATATTTTTTAATTAGTTGACATTTTATTGGAAATTTATATGAAGAGGTATTGAAACAAGAATTTGTTTTTAATTAAAAGCAATCTTTCTGCCTTTTTTGGCTGCAAAGTCAGTAATAATGTCATCATATGACAAAGACAAAGTGATATCTTGTTCGATTGCAAGAATAGCAAGACCAGTCAAGCGTTCCTGACTCATTGTAGAACGGAGATAGTTTTTAATGAGCTTTAGTTTGGAGAAACTCCGTTCTCCTGATGCTACTGTTACAGGAATTGTCAGTAGAATACAAGTGGCAATGTACACATTAGGATATATGTCAACAAGTTTGGTGGTATGAATAAACTGCATAGTGTCCATCATCGATTTTGCATATGGCAGCATTGATGACAATGTACTCAATTCTTCTTACAGTTCAAGTTCATTTAAATCAAAACTATCACCATGCTTCAGGAGGCTCTCTAGATTCTTGCACTTTGTCATTAGCTGCTTTTGTTTTCCTATGTTGTTGAATTTAGTTATGTCGTACAAAAATCCAAACGGTTCATGGTGTACTTTTAAGGTATTAAACCTTTCATCAATGGCAGATATTGCTTTATCCATCACAACATTAAATGTACAAAAATCCAAACGGTTCATAGTGTACTTTTAAGGTCTTAAACCTTTCATCAACGGCAGATATTGCTTTATCCATCACAACATTAAAAAATTCAACCTCAGATTTCTTTTCTGGATCGTCTATGGGCTCATCTGCTCCTTCATATTCCGCTTGCCATTTTTTCCTTGAAACTCGCGTCACATTCGGATATGGACATTTTGGTTCTACACCGAGTGCTTGTGCAAGCTCTCTTGCTGTAACCTGTGCTTCTTTGCATCCATTTTTTCTGTATTTCACTAAAAAGTCTCGTGTGTTGTTTAGTAAGTTAAGTGTTGAATCAAGCTGCATCATTGGACTCTGCATTATTTTGCTTACACTTGAGATTTTAACAAGAATGTCATACCAGATTATGACAGATGTTAGAAACTTGAACCTGGATATTTCAGAGGCCAATGACTGCTTCACTTTTAGCTTTTGGTTCTCTGACTTCTTCCAAAATTGCAACCAGTGCTTCGTAAACTTCCTCAGATTAATATCTCAGTGTTTTTGCACTTTCTACTCTGCTTTCCCAGCGTGTCTCAGATAGAGGCTTAACTGTAATGCCATTGATATGTGCTTTGAATATTTGCCATCGTTGAGTGGAAGCTGAAAAGAGCACGTAAATGCGTTTCAGCAAACCAAAAAAAGATATAGCTTCTACAGAAGACTTGGCCATATCACACAAAATCAAATTAAGGCTATGGCATGCACATGGAACAAAAAAGGCTCGTGGATTTTCCGCCAACAATCTAGCTTGCACACCAGAAATGCATCCTCTCATATTGCCACCATTATCATAGCCTTGTCCTCTAATGTTCGTTACGGACAATCCCATTCGTTTTAGTTCATCAAGGAGAGCTTGAAGAAGTCCAAAACCTGTAGTGTCTTCTGCTTCTAAAGATGTGATAAACATTTTTTAGACGTTGCTGCCCTGCACGGCCAAGCATGGTGACCAGGTGGGGAGGGGCTGGGGCTGCCTGGCCACACCCTCTGGATGGACGCCCACACATCACGACCTCCCGCAGGGGCCCGCGCCCTTTCCCCTCCTGTTCCCCCGCAGGGCCCCGCCAGGTCCTGTGGATAACAGGAGAGGAATCACTTGATGATTCGCTGTTCTGTTCTCTCTTTCTGAGGCATCTGGCATTGTCTACTGTTGGAAGACAGGATACTGGGCTAGATTGACCTTTGTTCTGACCCAGTATGGCCGTTCTTATGTTCCTTTGGACAGGCTACAGGGCTCCCAGAACCCTGCCCTCCTTCACCAGCTGCAAGATGGGGGCCAGCTGCAGGCTAGGGTTGGCCCTGCTCACCCCAGACAAACTTGAGGCCAGGCCCAGCCCATTCAGCCCCCCCACCTCGGAGCAGCTGCTGCTGCCCCCCAGGAGCAGTCCTCAGCACAGTATTGTCACTCTTGTAAACCCCGTAATCTCTTCCAGCTCCCTCCCAAGTTCTGCACTCTCTACCTCCTGCCCTGACTCCTATTCCCCCACCTCCCTACCCTAACCCCCCCATCAGACCCTATGCCCTGAATCCACCCCTTCTGCCCTCACTCTAAACCTCCCCATCAGACCCTATGCCCTGAATCCACCCCTCCTGCCCTCACTCTATCACCTTCTGCCCTGAGCTGCCCCCACAAACCTTCCAGCCCCATACCCACACATCTTAACTCCTACCCCTTACCAAGAGTCCCCCATATCTCTGCCCTGACTCCAGCCCTGCAACCTTATACTCCTGCCCCAACTCCCTGCACCAAACCTTGCGCCCTCATCCCCCCACCTCCTGCCGTCGCTCCAGCACCCTTCAACCCCTGCCCTAAGTTCCCCATGTCTCCCAGCCCTCTGCCCTCACTCCTGTACCCGCACCCCTTTTTATTCTAGCAAAAGACAGAAAACTTGCAAATAACCACCAAAAAACTTTATCTGATGTTTTAATCACTTTCCTTCTGATATTAATACAAACTTCCTTTTCCCCTTCATATTTGAAAAATTACATCATATTATGTACATTTTCCTTTTATTTTGTAACCTCTCCCCCCTTCCCCCCCCAATTACCACTTAAAGATCCAGATACGCTCGTAGGGACATAAATATATATGTAATCACAACATGCATAATATCTCCTCCCAAAGAGAGTGAGGGGGAGGGGAAGCCTCCTCCTTGCTTGTGCATCTCAGGGAGCCACCTCTACCCAAACCCCAATCCCCTCCCCTTCCCAGAGACCCCAGCAGCCAATCCCCTCCCTCAGAGTAGACTGTGCTGCAGGCAGCACGTTGGGCTCTCTCTAGGACCCAGCAGCAGCCCGGCTGTTGCCTGCTCACTGCTTCCGGTTTCTCCCGGCAGAGTGGTGCCCCAGAGATTCTGGTGCCCCATGCAACTGCGTACTCTGCGTATGCCTAAGGATGGCCCTGGTCCCTGGCCTGGAAAGAGTCAGTTGAACATGCCGTGTAGGTATCTGGGTGTTGTGCTGTGGCCGGCAGGTGACGCGCCCTCCCCACCGCCTGTAGCATTTCAGGAGAAGTACAGCGGGTAGGACTGTGAGTCGCAGAAGTAAACAGCAAATGAGAAGAAGCCTCCTCACACCTGTTGCTTAGAGAGTCAGAGAAGAGCCCTGGTCTTGCTTCTCGTTTTTCTCAAAGTTCTGTTCGTGTCGCCCTTTCCTCTGTGAGTCCGGTTTTCCTAAAGCTCTTGGATAACATGCGCCTCTTCCACTGGGTTTGATAACAGATTTTCTTTTTGTAAACTGCTTCGGTCCCTTCTCCATCTAATTTATCTATTTTACTAATTCAGGATCTCAGTCTTGAAGTATGCTGTGCATGAGCAATCTCTTACGTGCACGTATTCCTATTCCTACAGTATTCCTATTGACTTTAGTGGCAGTCTGTGTAGACTGTAGAGTGTCAACAGTTGTTGTTTTATGTAGAAATTCATTGCAGAATTGGGGTTTAAATTAAGAATTGGGAAGAGTTACAGTGAGGAAGACTGAAGGTGTTAACGTTAGGCATGTAAATATTTATATACAAATAGGGTTGATCGTGGGGCTTAGCTGCCAGTACCCAGCCCCACAGGTATGGGCTGCTCCAGCTGGGGTTGTCCTCAGCTAATCAGTTAACCGGTTACATCCTTCAATAAGATTATAGTTTAAATTAGTAGTGCATGCATCTTGAAGGGTACCTTGGGTTTCTCTGTATTTTCTGTATGTTACAATTTTAAATAGTATTACTAATTCTTTCTGACCAAGCGACACAAACACAGGCAGTAGATCTTGGGCATAGTATTTGAAAAGTAAAAAGTGGTGCTGGATTTCTAAGAGGCTGAAATTTATTTGTCAAAAAAAAAGTGTAAACTAGTCTAACTCTCTAGAGTCTAGAAAGCACAGAAGTTTTCCAGTAAACCGTCTTCTTTCCCTCATTTTTCAAAGGGGAACCTTTCAATTCACATACCTTTGGATTGGGAGAAGTGTTAATTTAAAATGGTCCATGTGGAAATATGGATCTTCAAGTTTCCATTGTAATTTCTTAAAACTCGAAGTCCCACGTTTTCTGTAGTATTGCTCAGTAAATCCATTTCATGTATTAGATGAGAGCGAGAAGCTTTTCCCATAGGACGTTTTTGGAAAAAAGTTTGAATTGGAAATGAGCATTAGCATTCTCAGAAATATTTAAATTGTAAATAGGAAATCAGTGGTCTAGATAAATTAGGAAAGCAGCATGAGGATTCACTTCAGTTGTTTTAGTGTTTGTCAGGATTTAGTGTGCGGCATAAAAGAAAAAAGATGCTTAGTTTACTGTCAACTTGAAAATATATAGAACTAGAGGATTTGCCTGGCATTGCTCTGGACTGTAACTGAAATGTTTGTTTTTCTTCATTTAAATCATTGCCCTGGGGTGGGGCTGGGGATGAGAGGTTCAGTATGCAGGCTGCTTCAGGGAGAGAGGACAGCCCCAGCACTCTCTTGCTGCAGAAGCTTGGGGCCCGGTGAAAAGCACCTTTCCATGGTTGCTGTAGCAGGCATAGCCAGAGGAAGGGAGCAGGTGCCCCACCTGCGGGACAGACAGACTCTCTCAAACGTACAGTAGATAGCTGTCCCTTTCTCCAGCCATGCCCCCTGCTGCCCCAATGGGGTTATAGCTGTCCTGGTCCGCGTCTCTGGCTCTTTGCTGCCTCCCTGTGGTCATTATGTGGTATAAGTATCCCTGCTAGCAGACCCCTCCCTTTCTGTTTGAGAAGCAATCCCAATCCAGGCACATCCCATTGACCTGGAACAACCAAATCTTTATCTTGCTCTAAGTTATGATAAGAGGAAGCTGTGTACTAAATTTGGTGGTCTTTGCTCTTACCATTTAGTAGGAGTTCTTGAAGAGACAGATGGATGGACAGACACAAACTTTCTTAAATATATAGCAGATGTTAATAGTTAACAAGTTTCCTAAGTTTAGGAGGGTGTGTACTGTCTGTACTATTTTTGGTGTGAAATTCCTTTGCCAACTTGAGTTTTTTTTTCTTTACAGAGTTTAAATGAATATGTAGCTGCATTAATTGCACTGAAGCAAAAAATAATAGACACAGAGTAAGTACAAGTGATATAATTTACACCGATGCATTTTTATTGTTTAAGTTGGTAGGCTTTTTAAATAAAATGCATTTTATAGCTGAATGACTATTTTAATGTATTGTACATTGTGGATGTTGGTCATCACAAAAAAAGCAAAATATACAGCCGGTCCCCGAGTTACGAACACATTGATTTATGACAGTTCTTATTTACGACCAACCTCCTATACAGCCAGAACCCAAGTTACGAACGAAATCCGCACTTACGAACAGCGTGGCCATATGTCAGTGAATATAATCCAACTTACAAACACGTTGAGTTACGACCAAGTGCTTGGAACATAATTCCAAGTCGTGGACCGGCTGTACATAGCTTTCTCGGGAAAGATCTCAGGCCTAAATTATACTGTCTGAATATCAGAGGGTAGCCGCATTACTCTGGATCTGCAAAAGCAACAAGGAGGCCTGTGGCACTTCATAGATTAACAGATGTATTAGAGCATAAGCTTTTGTGGACAAAGACCCACTTCGTCAGATGCATGTAGTGGAAATTTCCAGAGGCAGGTATAAATATGCAGGCTAGAGACAACGAGGTTACTTCAGTCAGGGAGGGTGAGGCTAGCCAAGTACAAAAACAATTTCTCCTCTCTTCATGTTCACACATTCACATCCACTGCTAGAAGTAGGCCTCACTGTCCCTGACTGAATTAACCTCGTTGTCTCTAGCCTGCATATTTATACCTGCCTCTGGAAATTTCTACTAAAGTAGAGTCCGGATTATCTGACCTTTGGTAATCCGACATTCCGCTTTATCCAACCCTGCAGCTCCCAGGGACAAAGCGGCGCCAGCAGGAGCGGCTCCCCGGGAGCGGCCGGACTGTTGCTCTCCTGGAGCCGCTGATGCCGCTCCTGCCGGTGCCGCTTTGTCCGCAGGAGCTGCAGGGTCGGATAAAGCGCGGGCAGGGAGAATGGCCCCACTCGCTGCCCTGTCGCTCTCCTGGAGCCGCTGATGCTTACAGCTCCCAGGGATGAAGCGGCACCAGCAGGAGTGGCAACAGCGGCTCCAAGAGAGCGATGGGGCAGTGTGCAGTGCCGGGCGCCCGGGGGCTGCAGGGAGGGAAGGGGCCAGGGCTAGGCAGGGATGGGAACAAGCAGCCCTGGCTACAGTAGAGTCCCTATCATCCAACATTTTTGGTAATCCGACCACCTGTCGGTCCCATTTAGGTTGGATGATAGGTTCTCTACTGTACATGCATCTGACGAAGTGGGTCTTTGCCCACGAAAGCTTATGCTCCAATACATCTGTTAGTCTATAAGGTGCTACAGGACTCCTTGTTGCTTATACTGTCTGAAATATGTATTGACGCTTACCCTAGCATGTCTTCATTTATTTTAGACTTGCTATTAGTCTTACTTTTACGTACGACACTCTTATGAGAATTGTGTGCCGTACCTGTGCAGAAATTGCTCAGAAATTAATGCTGTGTGCAGAATTTCCTTTTTCTCACAGAAATAGGCTGCAAATCTGCTGGCCACGACTAGGGGTGCTGGATCTGACAGAGTCCAGCTCACAAATCAGACACTGCTGGAGGGAGGGAAGGAATCTGGATGATTCCTGGCTGCTATGATCCTTGGCTTGCCCTGAAGGAAGGAAGTGACATGCAGGAAATTCCAAACAAACCTGGAATCCGATATCAGGACGTTTCTTCCTCTGGAACCCTGGGAGTTAGGAGATACAAGTGTTGGGAGCATGGTTGTACTCTGGAGGTGGAGACGGTGTGAGTGTCTGGGCCAAACCCACAGCAGGGCTCTAGTCAGGAGGAGATGCGAGTGCATTGGTGGAGAGGGAAATGCATATGAATGGTCCAAGAGGGGGCCATTCTCACATGCTGAGCTCTAGAAGGGGAAGAGGTTACAAGTGTCTCTGGGTATTTCTATACTACCCTCCTAATTCAAACTAGGAGGGTAATGTAGGCATACCGCACTTGCAAATGAAGCCCGGGATTTGAATTTCCCGGGCTTCATTTGCATAAGCTGGGCGCCGCCATTTTTAAATCCCGGCTAGTTCGAACCCCGTGCCGCGTGGCTACACGCGGCACGGATTAGCTAGTTCGGATTAGGCTTCCACGAGGAGTACAGCTAGTTCGGATTAGGAAGCCTAATCC